AATATATTACATTCTTTGAGTAACTAGCCCAACACTGCTGATGCACCATTAAACAGATTCCTCCAGCCAATCCAATGTCAGCACACAAACTTGTAACAGGCAAAGAGTGTTTCTGATCGGCTAAATCGTGGGCTGCTTCCTAAACTCTTTTTGTAAGAGCCTAGGGTTTTCAAAGAGACAGGTGTGATGTCTCAGGACATTTTCTGGACAAAAGACCTGCACCTTTAATTATGAAACATGTCAAGATGGGTCTGTGACAGGCTTTGTTCTCCTGTGACTTTTCCAATGCTGAGATTTACATGCTGAGATACTCTAGCAATCAACAAAGAATACAAATACAGCAACACCGCTACAGCACTTTGTCTTTGGTCAGCAGTATCAGACATCTCTATAAGCGCTATTAGATACAAGTTATCTTATTTATTTATTTTTCATCCCCTACAGCTATAGTCATATCACTAGCTGCTTTATCCCAATGTGTTTTAAATATGCAAGCAAACATATTTCCGTGCAAAGCCACTTTGTGCCAAAGTGTGAAACCACATTATATAAGTTACAACTGTATCTTGCACCTTGATGGGTGTAATATCAGACTTTCACAGTACATTAGCTACCCTTTCCATTATGGGAACAAAAGGTACTTTGTGGGAATAGTAATTCTAAGACTCTGTGGCTGAGTTTGAACACTACAGAATGTCAAATCAACATACTGTATAGCCCTGCTTCAAAACCTAACGAGCTGCCTAGCTTTTCTATTTCTTTTTTTTGGGGGGGGGTTACATTTGTTATTTCTGATATCTGAAAATGCATTTCTGATATCAATATAATTTCTGATATCTAAAATTGGTTTCTTACTAGTAACAATCACATTCATGATATCAGAAATGAACATTGTCACTAGTGACAATTAAATTGTTGATATCAAGAATAGACGTCTGTACTAGTAACCATGTGATTACTGATATCAAAAATAAAGGTTTTTACTAGTAAGAATTGTATTTCTGATATGTGAAATTGGAATTTCAACTAGTAAGAAATTAATTCTTGATATCAACAATTGATTTTGAATGGCAGCCTATGGTGACATTTAACTAGTGAAAATACAATTACAGATATCAAGAATTATAGTTTTTACTAGTTGAAAAGTAATTGTTGATATCAAGAATTAACATTGTTACTAGTGGAAATGTAGTTGCTGATATCAAAAATAACAATTGTTACTAGTAGAAATCCAATTCCTGATATCAAGAATTAACATTTTAACTAGTAAAAATTGAATTGTTGATATCAAGAATTCATATCCTGAGAATGAATAAAAGTCAAAAGGGCTTGCCATACTCAAACAGGGTCAAGTACAGAAACAAGTGCAAAGCAGATTAGGCTCATAGTTGATTTCAACAGAGTAGCATGTAGCTAAGATAACAATACAATATTCCAATAACATAGCACACATGGATTTGTGGTAAAATAGTTCATTTTTAATTAGACTGAACTATTTTTTATCAATGATTTTCACATTTATATAAACAACCATTCAAAGGTACGATTTTTAAATATTTTTGAAAAAAGTATTTTATGCTCAGCAAGGCTGTAATGTAATGTAAATTATATCCTTTATTTGACCCTCTAACTCTAGCACTCTCTATTCTAATTCTATTCTTAAAAAAAAAAAAACCCCTTGTCCCTTTTAGACTTGCACTCTATTCATTTGCTGCTTGTTTTTATTATTTAAAAAACCCTTGCTACGTGTACTGCGTTAAGCTAACTGAGACTTGTTAAAGCACTTGTATATCATTGCTCTTTTGTTGATTTTGATTGCTTCTATTGTCCTCATTTGTAAGTCGCTTTGGATAAAAGCGTCTGCTAAATGACTAAATGTAAATTACAATGTTTTTAATTATTGTGCTGCTTAATATTTTTGTGGGAACAGCAATAATTACTTTTCAGGATTCTTTGATTAAAATAGAAATCTTTTGTAACAATACATTTCTTTACTCTCGCTTTTGATCAGATTAATGCATCATGGCTGAAGAGAAGTATTTATTTAAAAAATCTTATTAACTCTAACAGTAGCGTATTTATTTATACAATATTTACTGATGCGCATTCTGGGATACCTTTCAAAAAGCGAATCTTTCTTAGCTGTAACTTTGAACTTGAACCTATGTCTAGACCAGAGCGCTCTGACCCACCTGTATGGTCGCAATGCGTGGTAGAGGCTGTCTGGTGTTAGCACCCCCTTCTACAGCAATACCCAGTGTACTGGCACATTTGGGCACCCGTACAAGTGTAGGCTCCATTATTCCCATCTAAAACAATGACAAACAGGGACGCCACTTTAGACGTCACACTCAAGAAGAAAGAAAAAGAGAGATTTCAAGGATGGTGGAAGACATGAATGAAGAGTTTAACATGAAATTTAGAGCTAAACCAAAACCTTCTTTTAACAGCAGCAGGGTAAACAGGACTAAATCCCTACAATGCGACATTAAGACATATATACTTCTGTATAATGGCTATTTACATGATGAAATGACACTAACTCATTTAAACGACAGAAGAGAACTTGTCGCTGCTCTCTCACCTGTTTTGCGGAGGCCTGTGCGAGTCCTTCTGCTCTGCGTGTGCCACCTGTGACCTGGAGGAATGGAGCTTTACCTGGTCGAGGGCTGCTGTCCTTACTCAACCCCCCTGCCTCTGCGATATCCACTCCACTGTCCTCACTCAGAGTCTGTCCGCTGTCTGACAGCTGGGACAGCGTGGCTCCTGGGAATACAGACAAATGAGCACACAAAGCCATAAATAACCACACAATTTAGCTTTCACAGATTAGAGATCTGCATTCAGAATTTATGTGGACCTCACATTATTTGGATCTGAAAAGAGTTATAGAAGCTGGACCTATTAGGGCTGTCAATTTAGTATGTTAAATTAGTGTGATTAATTATTTTAGATGAATGAGATGCCCTGTGACTATACTGTATGTACAATTTGTAATAAGGTATCCTGCCATCTGAGAAATTAAAGCCTTGAGTACCTCCTTTATCTTTAGCCACTCTTTTTAATGTGTTTTCAATAGGGTTGTTATCAATACAGATTACCCTGATTCAATTTGATTGTAATTCATGTTGTCATATTTCCATTTTGTTTGTGTATTTTCCATTTTTACTCTCAGCAAATGCAGTAAATTATACTTCATAACAACTATCAAACTATTTATTTGCTATTTGTTATATAACAGATATATACATTATAATCATCAACACAACCAAAAAGGCTTTGTGAATACCAAATGAAGTCAACTTTAACACTTCTTGGGAAAAACTAACAGTTGAAAGTTCATGCCTTTATGAATGATTCAATCATTTGCCCATGAATCACATTACACTGGTTGTGTTGTATGTTTTAGATTCACTAAAAAGATTTGTTTTAAATGATTCATTTGTCTCTGAACCAAACTACACCGGGTACACTGTACATTTTTGAATGGTTAACTTATAAACATTTGTTAAAGATTTGTACAAGAGTCAAATGTTTGTGAATGTTTGGTTTTAGGATTCTAATAATCCACTTGAGATCATTCAAAAAAAAATCTAAGATTGAAAAATATTGATATATGGGATTTAATCCGTTTAATCAACATACCACATAATTAATTCAATTAAAAACTGTAATCAATCAGCAGCCCTAATATCTATTTAAAAACATGCATTGATCCAAACAGGTAAACTAGATTTAAGTGCTAACTTAAATAGTTTGTCCAAAAATTTAAATCCTATCATTATTTACTTGTTGCATGTTGTTCCAAACCTGTATGAATGTTTTCTTCCATTGTACATACAAATATATAAAGAATATTTTTAATAAATGTCTTAGTGTTTTTGTTTATACAGTGGAAGTCAATGGTAACCAAAACTTTTGTGTTCCACAGAAGAAAGTCATACAGGTTTGGAATGACATGAGGGTGAGTAAATGATGACAGAATTTTCATGTTTGGCTGAACTATCTCTTTAAGACATAATCTTAGAGTGTCTTCACCTCGTAGTTGGGGCTGAGGCTTTTCCTCTGTCATCTCTGGCTCAGGGTGTAGTGGGCTGGTCTGGGTGGCACCGCACCGGTGTGTAGAGGGGGAGCCCTCGAGATTCTCGGGGCTACAGGGGGGCGGCGCAGGCATTAGCAGTGAAGGCGAAAGGGACGGAGAGGAGCGTGGAGAGATCATGGGGGTGCCCTCTCTAGAACGATTTGGAGACTCTAGGTGCGGGGAGAGCACTGCCGCCTGCCTGCTCATTAGAAACTGAACCAAATCTCTACACGGTGGTCCAGAAGAAGGGCTAGCATGATAAGATGACGATCGTGGAGAGCTGTGATGGTGAGAGCAGGGTGGAGGAGTGTGATGGACAGAGCAGGTGGAAGCAGTGTGGTGGATAGTACATGGGGAGGTGTGAGCAGAGCAGGGCGAGTGTGAGTGTGAGAAATTGTGGGTGTGGTTTTCCTGATGCCGTAAAAAATGCCGTTTGGTCTGATTTTTAGGGCTGGCATGTCGAACAGGTGGAGGTGGAGGCTTGAACGAGGGGGGTGACTCGGATGACGGCTGCATCTTGTCCTGAAATAAAACATAAACGTACTGTCTATATTTATCTCCTCACTGTTGCTTTCAAATACTAAGACAGGCAATTAAAGGATGCATTATCATTGAGGGAGGTTATGATAACGCTGAGAAAGAAAAAAAAAGACATCCTGACATTTAAACGATTTTAAAAGGTGACATTTCCTTCTAAAATGTCTGCACATTATGAAATTAACAGATGATAGAGTTGTCTCTATGTACAACCATTTAGCATTAGCACACGTTTATGACAAGATGGTCAATTACGGATTCATCCAAGATAATCATTTATGATTACAAGAGTTAATGTTGGGCTACTGATGCTTAATTAAATGAGAACAAGAAAGGGAAGGATAATAATCCATTGAACTCAACTCAATCTTCAGCAAACTGACTAGATAAAAAGAAAATCTGTCACATGGCTGTGTTCTGAATTAGAACCTAACAGCATATATTTAATGTTACAAATATTTTATGATGTTACCATGCAATTTCTGCAAAATCAAAATGACTGGCATCAGGTGTGCAACAAGCACTTTTGTCTGGTATATGCTACTCCACGTTTTCGGGCAGTGTACAGTAAAATTACATTGGATACAGTGTGAAGGTTTGCAATGTTTGATCAACTACTGAAAGCAAAACCATATTTTTATTACATATTAAATTAATTGCACCACCATTCAGAAGTTTGAGCTCAGCAAGATTTTAAAAATGTATACTTTTAAACAGCAAGTATGCAGGGTTTTCAAAGTGTGGGGCGCGCCTCCCCAGGGGGGCGCCAGAGCATGTCAGGGGAGGCGCGGGGGAAAATTATAATAAATTAAAAATATAATTATTGAGTTAAATTATTATATGTATTTTTTATTATAATTAAATGTTTTTATTTAAACGATACTAAAAAATAATAAGTCAAAAATATGAGAAAAATGTTTCACCCAGAAGGCCGTAGCTGTGAATATGCCTATTAATACAATGGAGCGGTTTCTGAGACCTCCCAATTCAAAGCCTTCAACTTCAGGGCTTTGAATCGGGAAAGACGGCAACCCAAAAGACGACGATATGATGATCAGTATTTGAGTTTAGGATTTACGTGGACAGGACCAGCTGATGAACCACGACCTTTATGTGTGGGTTTGTCAAGATATTTTGGCTAATGACAGCATGAGACCCACAAAACTTCGGTGCACACCTTGAAACCAAGCAAGTTGAGGTAACTATAGCAGGACGGCAGCAAAAGACCTGTGTTCCGTGATGCTAAGAGAGGCAGCGGCTTCTAAGATTGATTCTGTTCCACTCTCTGACAACACAATAAGTCGGCGCATCTCAGACATGGCACAGGATGTGAAGGAGAAAGTCAGACACAGCCCATTTTTTGCACTCCAGATCGACGAATCGCGCCATTGGGTAAGTTGTGTCAAAAGGGAGGCCCACTGTCTTAGACTTTGAAAACCCCTGCATTAAACTGATCAAAAGTGACAGTAAAGGCTTTGCTACAAAAAAATAAAATAAAATAAAATTTCCACAAAAAAGCAAAACACACAAAAAAACAGTTTTCACCATTAATAATAACAATAAATGTTTGAGCATTAAATCAGAATTTTAGAATGATTTCTGAAGGATCATGTGACACTAAAGACTGGATTAATGGCTGCTGAAAATTCAGCTTTGCCATCACAGAAATAAATCACACTTTAAAACATATTAAAATATAAAACAGTTATTTTAAATTGTAATCAAATTTCAAAATATAATTTAATAATATAGTATTTACTGTATTTTGACTTCTTTCAAAAATATTAAAAAATCTTATATCAAACCCAAACTTTTGAACAGTAATTACTTGTTATTAATGAATTTTGTTTTTCAGATAAAATTTCTCTTTGGGGGCTGACTATTGGAAACAGGTCCGTATTCAACACATTCTTACAAAGAGGTCAAGTAGAGGTGTATTGTATATATGCACTGCCTCTACTACATTTCAAATGACTGATCTATCTAGGGCTGTCGCGATAACCACAATATCGCAATACCGCGCTATTGACGAGCAAACCGCAGAGGAATGCAAGAACCCCAGCAACCGCGATTTTTGCGTGTTTTCTTTTTTCGTAATGTTATGCCCTTCTCGTTTTACACTTCATGCATGTGGACTGAATATTAAACAAGTTAGTAATGATAACATAGCAGTCAGATTAGAAGATCAGATCAGAACTAACTTTTATACATATAGGCTAATGATAGCCTAACGATCTTATTGTCAGGTTTATGTTCTGTTATGTGGACCGTTATTTTGTCCCGCGCTATTCAAGATCTAGACAGCCCTTGATCTATCAATCTTTGAGATTACAAAAATACAGGTGTATGTATTCATCCAAAAACAAAATAAATCTTGCGCGATTTTCTTAGGTTTACAGGGGATATGACAGTCTTTGTATTTTAGGGATAAATGTTTTGTTTTCCTAGTCCTAAATCATGTCCCTTTCTTTTCTTGTTACATTCAGGCGTAAAAATACAAAAGCCATTTTAATGCTGACAGCTTTTACTCCACAAAACGTAACAGTGTGCAGACACACAGCAGACAAACGTAAACAACTCACCAGAGCAACATCAGGAAGAGAATTTAGACTCTCAAGTGGCATCAAACTCCCATCCAACCTGCACTCACTCTATTAAGGCAAAGCAAAAAAACATAAACAATCACTGAAATGACTCGGGTGTACACAGCAACAATCACTCCAGAATGAAATACAATCAAAAAGATGTTTGAGTTTAAGAAACCCATGCTCCACTTGAGATACAGCTCTTCATTTCTCATCAGTTCAGCTCAATTACGGCTTGTGTGTGTGAGATTTTACAATAATGCTTGGAATCAAATCATGCAATTACCAAGACACAGCAGATCAGACCAATCAATGCAGGCACAGTAGAAGTCAGACTGAGAAAAGTTAGATAATACAAATACAAAAAAGATTCCTCTCTCATCAAATATGGGAATAGAGCATTGAAAGCTATGAATAAAAAAATAAAAAATAACTAGTTTTTATACATCAATATTTTTCATGCATACACTAAAACTTTTGGGGTCCAACGTTTTTAAAGAAATTTAAAGAAATAGCTTTTACTGTATTTTGACTTGTTTCAAAAACTTTTGAATGGTAGTGTGTATGTTGGTTTTAGTGTTATTTCTTTTAGTTTTGTGTCTTTTTCCAATTTAATTTTATTAGATTTTTTCAAGAAATTAATAGTTGTAAACAGTTCAAATAAATGCCGTTCTTTTGAATTTTCTAGCCATTGAAGAATCCTGAAAAAAAATCCTGAATACAATTATTGTAATAATATTTCTTATTACTGTTTCATTCAGGGTTTGTACTCTTACCCAAGTGGAAATTTAAAAGTAGCACTTATAGTAATATTTAAATGGGGAATCTGTACTTTAATTCTGTCCACCTGTGCATGCTAATATTCACAGCACTGCACAACACCAAATGATGCGCGGAAAGCCACGTGCCTTGTTGTAGCTGGGGACTGCAGTGGTCAGCTGGCAGGCAGCAGGAATGTGGCCCTCTGGATGGGTGACGTAGATAGAGTCAGGGTGCAGGAGGCCCGAGCCTCCGTGCCGAGCTCTCCACGCCTCCATCTCGCGATGTAACACTTGCCCGTCGAATCGCTCCAGATCCTGCAGAGCGATCAGAGTCCGCACCTCAGCCAGCAAGGACAGCTGGGGAGCGGGAACAGACAAGAGATCATTAAATGAAACACCTGAAATCATTCAAAATATGATACATTTTTAATTTAAATGCAATGCTAACATTAAAACTAAGAGTTTTCAGTGACATTGTGCATTAAATTATAAAGATGCTGGCATAGACCATGGCTTTATGGGTTGTTAGCAATTCTTCAGAGTTTTTTTTTTTTTTTGCTGTCAGTCTCACCTTGGCATGTGTATTGAAGAGTTCAAACAGGGCCATGGCCAGAGGCTCTACCCCGATGTGTCCACGCTGATACTCTTGAATGTAATAGCTCATGGTCTGTCTCTCTGTCTCTGTCAGAAGCATGTATGCCTGCTCCTCCAGTGAGCTCCAGGCTCCTGTGCGTACCGCTCCAACTGCTGGTACAACAACTTTACAACAGATTGACTGCAAAAGAGAGAAGATAAAACTATAGAGGGTGTGTCTACATGTACAATGTTGTACAGGCATGTAAAGTCTCTTATTGTCCAATCATACGTTTGCATCAAAGATGCCTTCATTTGTTTGATTTTTAATCATATTCTTTCATTTGTATCCTTCACTGCATCTCAGAACAACACACACCAGTGTTTTGTTACTAAATGAATCAGTGTTTTTGAACTTATTCATTCATAATCAGCCATGTAAATGTAGTATCATTGAGATATCATTATAGTTTTTATTAATACCTTTTATTTTTATACTTTCCAATTTTAGTTTAATTTTAGTTAACATTTTTGTTCTGTATTTTTGTCATTTTTATTAATTTCAGTTTTTTTAAAAAATATGCCTATATAGTTTATATTCTTATTTTATTTAAGCTTTAATTTGAGTTATTTTAGTGCATCAATATTTAGTTAGACAAAATGAAAATGAGAAATGTCTAGCTGAAATAAAGTAAGTTTACTTTTTTATTTTACTTCAGTTAATTTAAATTTTATTTCAACCATTAAATATGCTTGAGGTCTTTTTTTCTTTTTCTTTTTGGTTTTAGTTTTAGTTAACTATAATAACCCTGTTTTGAACAAATTGTTTTAATTAATGATTCAATGACTCATAAAGATACGACTTACCACCACCTACTGGTGGTTTTAGTTTTATACACTCATTTTGTATATAATTTCATATATCAATATTCAAAATTCTATTAAACAAATCTTATTTTAGTTATTTTAATGTATTATTTTAAATATTATATTAATAACATTTGAATTAGTTTTCCTTTTTTCCTTTTAGTTTAAAAGTTTTAGTAATTTTGTTGTGTGTGTTTGTCATTTTTATCGGTTGTTTTTTTAATGTTTATATAGTTTTCCTTAATTTTTATTCCGTTATTCTGAAATGAAAATAAGAAATGTTGCTTTACATTTCTAAATGAAATAAGTTTTTTTTTTATACTTAAATTTTTTTAGCTTTAGTTAAAGGGGGGGGAGGGGGTACAATCCAACGCTCTCCATTGACTGTCTATTGCGGGAAGCTGCCTCCTTGTCATCTCTGACTTATAACAAAAAACAGAGCAATGCCTAAAAGCTGCTTTGTGACAAGGTGTACAGTAAACAAGCTAAAAAACCCAGAACTACGTTTTTGTAAGCTGTCGACCCAAAAACGAGCGTTTAGGACACAAATAGTCCCCTTTAAACAAAAGGAAGGTTAGGAAAAGAGGCACTGACATAGACCAATAAAATTTAGTTTCTTAATATATCTCCTCCCCTCAGATTCACATAGGGTGGTGAAATAATCTTTTGACATGGTTAAAAATAATGAATGGTCTTGTCGTCGATTATGTTTCCCTCCAGTGGGCGCGGTTCTCAGAGTAATAAGACACGTTGCACTGTACTTTTGTGTCCTAAATGCTCGTTTGTTTTGCTTATAAAAACATAGTTCTGGTTTTTTAGCTTGTTTACTGTACACCTTGTCACATAGCAGCTTTATGTAAGGGAAAGATAACCTTGTTCAGCTTCCCGAAGAATCCAGTGTTACATGAACAGTGGATTCAGTTTGTTTTCCGGGGCAGCAACGGAGTTTCGCAAATGTGTTTGTTGACGAACGTTTTATAAACAAGGCCCAGTTTGACGCTGGATTTGCACATCGTTTGATACTGAAAGATGGAGCGGCCCCAGCTATAAAAGATCCCGGTCATGATTCAGAACTGCTGATGGTAAGTGAAACTGCATCAAATGTCTGTGTTTTGTTGGCAATCGGTGCTCAAGTGCTCGTCACTCTTTAGCTCCGCCCACGGCGCGCCTCCAGGAGCTCGGCTGTTTTCGGAGAGAATCGTAAACCTGTATCTTTCTTTTATAAATATGATAAAACTAAAGACTTTTTGGGGATATGAAGGATACAGTACTACTCTATAGGTACTCAAGATTAATATGGGATTGGGTGAATAATATAATATAATAACCCTGAAACAATCTCCCTGAAACAATGTTATTTATGCTATTGTAATTTTTAACTTCTACTCACAAATTTGCATTTTAGTCACTAAATGCTTGCTTGTTAAGCTCACAATCATTTTTTAGATCATTTTGCAAGATGTTATGATGTCTTGGAAGCCTCTCTTAGGAGATATTTCGTATTAAAACGCTTTCTTTGAAGTCTGGGAAAGCAGCTAGCTTTGGTTTCGGATACAGCTAAGGTTACTAATTTATTTTCATAACTGAAAATAAACAAATAGTGGCATGTAGTGATACAGTGGTATAAAACAGTTGTGCAATCATTAGTCACATCGTGTAGTTGATATGAACTGTTGTAATGTGCATGTTCAGGTCAGTGTGTGGGCAGCAGGCACTCATGAGAAAGAGAGAATAGCAGCTGCAGGACTGCATCACTGAGACCGCACCAGTCAGCCATGTCTAATATGTAATGCTACATACCCTAGAGTAACAAACTCTCTCTCTCTCTCTTATACAGCTAGTTATGCACCTTCTCTTTGAAAACATGCCCCTTCTCTGCTTACTACTTTTAGACGTTCTCCTAAATCAAACCTATATCAAAATAACTCCAATCTCTGTCAACAAGCTTCCTCTCTCTCACTCTTCCTGCCTCTATCCAATTCACTCCACATCTCCCAGTGCTGCTATTGCTATAAAAACAACAAACACTGAAACACCATGCATTGTATATCTATGCCCCCAGGTGTCTAGCTGGTAACTTAGTGGGAGAAATAAAATCGTCAGGTAAGAATCCTTTTTAAAGACATTCGGAACACAAACCTTCAAAAGTTCAGCGTGAGAGAAAATAGGGACATATCTGTTTTACAACGCAGAGCAGTGGTTCTCAACTGGTGGGTCATAACCTTAAAAAGTGTCTGATATGGTCTCAGACAGCAGTACAAAACAATGCTAAATGCATCTAATCTTATAATCACACATGGTTATTAACTTTTAACAGGAAGGTGAAAACGCTTTACCTGTATTTTGTTGCTGACATCAAAGTTTGTGCATCCAAATTAACTTGTAAAACTATGATAATTCAATCATTTTGAAATCATTTTGAAACCAAATACTCAAACTATTAAACATTTTTTTATAATTTTCTTTTCTGAACCCACATGGTAAAAAAAATTTGTATATTGTTAGTCAAGTTCATGGTGATACTACATTTTAGTATTACGAAAGGTAAAAGTAATTTTGTTTACTTATAATAAATAACTTTGGTTTGTATTCAGTTGCCATCTAATGTCCAATGTAAATCTAAGTCGTGAAGGAAAACCACTTGAGAACCACTTACATATGTCAGTATTTGTGAGAGGAATGCTGTCTACGATAGGTGAAGTGTATAATATTTGTATCCAATGGATGAACGACTCTCCAAAACCAAATCTGCGTAGGGTGTTGAATAAAAATGTCCAGTTTACTTTATCAAATGCCTTTTCAGCATCTAGTGAAACAATAACAGTTTTGGTTTGTTTTTGTTGGGCAAGATTAATTAAATTAAATAATCTACGGGTGTTATCTGAAGCACTTCTGTGTTTAATAAATCCTGTTTGATCATGGTGGATTAACATTGGGATAACTGTTTCTATTCTAGTAGTTAATGCTTTGGTGATAATTTTTAAATCTGTATTTATTAATGAGAGAGGGCAGTAGCTGATGGGGTAAATTGGGTCTTAGTTTGGTTTTAGTAGAAGTGTCATGACGGCTGTATTCATATGTGTCGAAATTGTGGATTTAGTTTTTATTTCAGTGACTACTCTGTGAAATAATGGAGACAGCATTTGCCAGAAGTGTTTATAGAATTCAGCTGGGAGTCCAACAAGCCCGGGTGATTTGTTATTTGGCATTTTATGTAATGCTTTATAGAGTTCATCAACAGTAAGTGGAGTGTCTAGAGCATCTAGACCTGTTCTTTTGATATTGTTGGTAGTTTTAATTCTTTAAAGAAATTATCTATTTCTGTTCTATCTGGGTTATGTTCCGAAGAGTATAATTTTTGGTAGAAAGTATGAAATACTTTATTAATTTCTTGGGGGTTCTGAACTATTTCACCTGATTGATTACGTATGGATGGAATAATTGCTTTTTCTTTTTTACGCTTTAGTTGATTCGCTAGATATTTACTCATTTTGACAAATAAAAGTTCGGTTTGACTTGATTGATAAATATATTAGCCTACTATTGTTCAGTAGAATGTACGTAATAGGCTACTACTACTACTACTAAATTATTAAAACCTTATTTTTAAGGAATAATCATACAATATTTCTTCAATGTTTTAATATTAAATCCCCTTTATTTTCCCAAAAATAATTTTTTTTAATTTTCATTAATTAAAAGATAAATTAAATGAATGTTTTATGCCTTAAAAATGTAAATACACAACACAGAATTTCTGAGGAAAAAAAATCATATGGCTATTGTAAGAATAAATGAAACTTGTTTTATGCTTTCAAATAATTAGACATGCTAAAAACACAGAATTTGGTAACAATAAAACATAAGGTTGGAAAAAATAAAACATTTTTAGGCCCCAAACATGTAATTTTTGTTAAACGGTTTAACAAAAATTTATTAAAAGTTTAAGTTTCATGATTTTAATTAATTAGACATGCTTTTTGATTAATAAAATGTAATTTAACCATTAAAAAGGAGTCCAGAAAAA